CCAACGGGATAGCCTCAGCCCTTCGTCTGCTGACGGAGGGCAAAGAGGGGAGAGAGAAGGTATCTTCATCTTAGCTGGGAAAGTGACAGAAAAAGGATCCTAGTGCTCCCGCAGGAGATTGATTGGGGGCTTTCCCCGTCCCACCTGCCTAAAGCTCTGGGATTGGGAGAGCCTGGACAGTCACGGCTGCATGTCTGGGATTTAGTGCAATTCGCTTCTCGGTGCCAAGCGCCACGGCTGAATCGATTGTCTTAATGGGGAATTGCATTGGCAAGGGCTGGGCTGGCAGCAGCGACCGCTCGCTCTTCCTCTCGCGCTCTCTCTCTCCCTCTCCCTCGGAGTCTCTGCTACAGGAGTCCCGGGCAGGTTCTCCCCAGCCCTCCGACCGGCCCCTCCCAATCTGCCCTCCCCCCCCCTTTCTGTTCCTGGGTTGAAGTGGCCACGTTCCACCCGGCAGATCTCCAGCTGCTTCGCTAAGCCCCTGGCCTTCGGAGCGAAAAGAGCGGCATCCGCCGAGGAGGCGGAAAAGCTTCTCGTGGAGAGCTACAAGGGCCCAATCCATCACTCTTTAAAGGGCTCTTAGTCATTGTCTGGCAGCTGCGGAGTCGTGTCTGGCCCTCGGACACCTGCTCCGTCCAGGATGTTTGGATTTCATAAGAGAGTGCCGCTGGGACACACACACACACACACCCCAAAAAAAGGAAAAAAAAATGAGGGAGTGTAATGAAAGCTAGAAGAACTCTGGGAAGAGGTGCACTTCCCTAAGAGGTGTTGACTCAGGAAACGGCCCCATTTCGGGTGTTTGTGCTTGCAAGCGCGCCCTGTTGTAAGGCTGTAAGTCCGCCTTCCTCGTTAGCCCCCACTGGACAGGGGAGAGACCTGAGGAGCGGGAAGGGGATGGCGAGGGGGGCGGGACGGGTGGAGTTTAGAGAAAACGGTCTCAGGCGGGAAGAAAACCAATCCAGCGAGGCCTGTCTTTGCTTCTAACACTGAAGCGCGAAGCCTTTGGGTCTCTTCCACCCCCGGGAAATCCTCGCGAGCCCTAAGTTGTCGGAAGAGACAAGCACAGGGGGCCCCACTCCGCCGCGTTACAAAGTGGGGAAACTCCGCCGAGCGAGATTCTTCCTCCTGAGCTGGACGGATCGGCCAGCCCGGGCAGCGGAAGGTGGGATAATCTGGAGGATCTTCTGAGCAGCCCAGAGGGCGGGAGATGTGAGAGATGCCTCTAAAGTTCCAGGGGCCCTCAACCTTGGCAACTTTAAGACTTGTGGACTTCAACTCCCAGAATTCCTCAGCCAGCTTTGCCTCTAAGCCAGGGGCCCTCAACCTTGGCAACTTTAAGACTTGTGGACTTCAACTCCCAGAATTCCTCAGCCAGCTTTGCCTCTAAGCCAGGGGCCCTCAACCTTGGCAACTTTAAGACTTGTGGACTTCAACTCCCAGAATTCCTCAGCCAGCAAAGCTGGCTGAGGAATTCTGGGAGTTGAAGTCCACAAGTCTTAAAG